GTTAATATAGGTGAGCAGAATTTTTAGATTGGAAAATCGGTCGGCGTGATTTGGACTTTCGATAGCTCATTTCGAATTTTAATAGACCTTTTGGAGTTTTTGTTCTGATGCCTTAGTTTTATGCCACCAAATGTAGAGGAAATATTTACTGTGTGATATGAATTTGATGCTGTTTATTGATGAATTTCAAAAATGGGGAGAATCATTAAATGTCTTTTGATTCTAGAATCTGCCTATTCTGGATTGATTTGATCATTAGGTTTGTTTAAATATTCACCGGGTAGGATTAATGAAGAATAATTAGTTAAAAGGCTGTCCTTAACTGTGTACTAAACATCCCTTTTCGGTTTTTTCTAACTCATATTATAAAATTTCTAGTTTAAATTTAAATAGTAACTCAGTAAGCTATGCTAGGTAGCTAGGAAATACAGGGGCTTTGGTTCAGTGGATTCTTGATAAAATGTTTCGGAATTGAATATGATTGTCTTTCATCATAACTTGAGGTTGAGAGTGACACTTGAACTCTAAGAAAAGATGGGTCTGCTTGTGTCTCTTTCATAGATATTGTAAATGGTTTTTGTAGATTACATATGGATCGGCGATCAAATTAATGCATGAGCGAACAAAGTTCCGGCTACATTCACATGATGTGCCGTATGGATCTGGCAGCGGCCAACAGTCGGTTACTGGTTTCCCTAATGTTGATGACTCTAACAGTTACTGGGTATTTCAATGCTACACTGTATTTTTTCCTTTATAATACTTGATAAGGTAAAAAAAGTACGAGTGCAGTAGTCTTAAGTTTTTAATTAAAATTATTGCTTGATTTGGTAGATTGTTAGGCCTACGCCAGACTCATCTACAAAACAAGGAGATGCAATTAAAAGTGGAACTATCATTAGGCTGCAACACATGAGGACAAGGAGATGGCTGCATAGCCACTTGCATGCATCCCCAATATCTGGCAACCTCGAGGTTAGTGTGGTTGTTTTTCATTGGGACCCTTAGTGTCATCCTTGTATCCCATATTGAACAATCAATTGGCACCATCATCATCCATGGAAATTTTTTATGAAAATTTTTACCCAAACTTGAATTGATTTTTTTATTTTGATATCTTGATCCCAATCTCATATCGCCGAAATATGCATAAGGTAAGTGTTCCTCTCTGTGTTTTGTACTAGTGAACTTGCATTGATTCCTTCTGTTTCAACCTCGTATCCTGAATCTATACTTCAGCAATATATGATTTTTTTTTTTTGTTTCAATATTACACCAATACTCTGCAACATTGATTTTATGATAGGGTGCATAATGTTGTAGTTCTTAAGAGCTTTTGTCAGTAGCTTCTACGTCAGTCCAGCAACAGAAAAATTTACACGTTATAATTGTAATACAAATTGTAGCTTTTAGAAGAAGGATCTATGATGTTAGAGATTGATGTCTGACTTTAACTTTTATTTCCCATGGATCTCTATGATTACCAATGACCTAGTGAAGTAGTAGAATGCTAAACAAATAGACATGCCTTGGTGTTGCAGTGATATCCTGTTTCTTCCTCCCTGTGGAAATACAGTGGTGTATTTCGGCTGGCTTTGGAAATTTTTAATACTTTCATGTTTTCTCATGGCTATTTATTATTTTTTCCAACAAAAGCCCAGACTATTCAAGAAAAAGCAATAAGCTGGTAATGCATGAATTTCGAGGTTTGATGTCGCCATCCTTTCTGCTGTCAGCAGTGAAATAAACTATTTTCTTCGTACGGACTTTATAGATAAGTTTATTTTGATCCATAAGAGTCATGAGCTGTGTACTGAAAGCCAATATTTTCAGACTAGAAAAAGAATACCCTCACTAAATTTTATCCATTGCAAATACGGGACTCCTGGTCATTGTTTCAACAGATCATGAACTGAGCTGAAATGACTACTTTTTCTAAGCCTTTTGCTTTATTAATTAGAAAAAAATATTGAAAAGAAAAATCTTATGGTGCTGGTTCCACGTGCGTTAGCATATAAACACAACATGCTTGTATGGCTTTGTGCCATTCTGTTGGACATACACTATAGGCATGAGGGAAAATTTATATGAGCAGCGATTGCTTTATTGTTATCATAGATTCATCATATGTCGTTCCTGTGTATGGAGAGACTCATGGTGGGAGCAAGTTTTTGTGCATCTATGCATCTTTTGCTACTTGAGTGATCTGAAACTTAGATGCAATGCCTTCATGGCTTAAATTAATTAGCATCATATAAATGTATACAGGTGAGTTGCTTTGGGGATGACGGTAACTCTGACACTGGTGATTATTGGAGGTGAGACGTTCATCCCGTACCTTCTTAGCATGTTTGGTCAGAGGATTGAGAGCACTGAACAGTACCAAGAAAGAACTCTCCAATTCTTTTGATAGGGCATACCAAACATGCACGTGAAGTTCACGTATTTCATGTGATATTTATTTCTTTTACGCATTTTTGTGTTTTAGACTCGAGATTGAGGGAAGTGGAAAGACTTGGAGGCAAGACCAAAGGGTGAGACTTTATCATGTAGACACCGGTGGATACCTACACAGTCATGACAAGAAATACAGCCGTATAGCTGGTGGACAGCAAGAGGTAAGATCGAGATGATGTCATAATAGTATTCACTTACACCAGGCTAATTTTAGGTCAAGATGACTGATGGAATAGGTCTTCGTCCGACATCTTAATTACTCCCTTGCATACATTGCAGGTTTGTGGTGTTCGGGAAAAGCGTGCTGATAATGTTTGGTTGGCAGCAGAGGGTGTGTATCTCCCTATTTCTGGAAGCAAATGAAGATCGCCTGGAAATCATAACTAGCGAATAGTTCAGCTCGGTTTTTATTGCTATTATAGTCTTCCCCCTTTCCCCAACTCTTGCCTACGCCCACTGGCATTAGCATGTAACTGTATCTGATTTCTTAGCAACTCCATGAATGATGGTAGTTAATGCAGCTTTGGACATTATCACATTGAAACTTTGATACCGAGATAAAAAAAAAAACTGTTAGCTTCTAGACTTGCTGCAATTGTAATACAGAACTTACATCTGGGATTCATGTTGATGTTTGTTTCTGAGAGTAGTGCAATTTTAACAAAATTGTTGTGCGGCGTGTATACTTCTAGGGATGTAAACTGCATGTATCGTATAACACAGGCAATACCAATGCAGATTATTGAAGGTGGAAACGAAGGATTTTTAAGTCTTCAACGTGTAGACTTCAGTCAAACCAGGAAAATGACAATTTTCTGCTTATCTTTAAATTGTTTTAAAAAATATTACTCATGGTTAGGTTAAGTTATATATTATTAACAATTCCTTTTGTAACTATTACCAATCTTAGATTAAAATTAGTTTTTACCTCCCTAAATTTAGATTCCATGAAAGCAAAGGCGTGAAATATGTAATGAGTAAAAGTGTAGAGTAATTCAATAAAATCAATGGACAACCTTATTCATATCGAAAATACTAGTAAAATCATCAAAGCTAAAATATGCCTAGTTGGAGGGTCGCAAGATGTTTTGCTGCATCGACTCTAACTGGGGAGTACGTTCAGACAGTTCACGATGCTCACTAGGAGTGTCTGATTGTAAACATGAAATCTTTATGATAAGATTAGACAATTGAATTACCAAGATGTAAATTATTAATTAATTATACTTGATTGATTTAATTTTCAATTTAAAAAATGTTATCCTCATCAATCTTTTATTACTGGGTAGACGAGAGAGGGGGAGTGAATTGCTTGAATTATAAAAAACCTACATTCAATAAAGAAAATGTTTTCCTTGTTTTTGATGAAAATATAATTGTGTCCAACTTTTGAAAATAATTGACATGGAAAATAATGATATTCACACAATCTTTGAGGAAATCATAATTACGTGACCAACTTTTGAAAAATAACGACCTTCAAGCACTCCAAAAGTAAGAACTTGGGTGAAAAAATGAGGAAAATAAAGCTGATACACAACCCAAGTGACCAAATTGGTCATTCCCTATCTTTTTCACAAACGAAATGACCAATTTAAAACATAATATGTAGTAGACAAGCCTCTTTGAAAAAGACTGAAGATTCATCAACAATCACGTTCCAGATATGAAATAACAGTACAACATGCAGTAGTTTTAGGAATCCATTAGCATGAAAAGAGTAACTAATAGCAAATCTCGAACAACAAAAATCTTGTTTAACATAAATACTAAATCAAAATTTACAAATGGAATGGCATTGAAAAGCAAACTAGAAGTTACTTAAGACGATTTCAAATCTCATCACGAGCATACTGCTGCTCGGCAGTCTTTTAGTGAGACTTCACGTACTCCTGAACAATGTGGAGACCTTCAGTTTCCTCTCCATAATCCTGCAAAAAGTAATTAAAGAACACGACAATGAGATACCGATAACAGACCAATTGATAACCACAAATGCCATAGCTTTTGCTATACTACCTTCACGACAACACACGAGGCACCCACAACCTTCCTTGCTTTCCCTTCTGAATCAATCTTGCACAACTACAAAACATCAATTAACACTAGAGTCAAACAATAGCATAAATATCTTTTACTCAAGGGGGAAGACAACTGGCTCAAGAAGATGGTCCGTCATAACCATTGTCATAATTCACAGCCATATGACTGGCTGGATATTTCTAACTAGTTGGGTTTCAAGCAAATTGCAACTCAAACAGTTTACTATATCATGAAAACAAGCCAAGAACGTACACCAGCCCATTCGCCTAGAGTCTTTGCACTTGGAACGGTGATGAGGTTTACATTGTGGTCAGCGCAGAGTGCTTTAATCAATTTGACATAGTCGGGTTGGTCGCAGCCCTCTGCCAACACACACAGCTGAGCTACATGCTTCTCAATCACCTTGGCACTTTCGTGAAGGCCTCGGATGAGCCCTCCATGTGCCAACGACTTCCTCAGCACAAGCT